ACATCTGCTAGAGCTTTCAGCAGCACTTCTGATGGACTGTTACCCACCACACAAATCTGACCAGAATGAAACACCACTCTTATGTAACTGATGATATTGCAGTTTCATGGTTTTTTCTTCAATTGATGATATGGTACTTAAACAATACAGAATGATTTGCTTACTTTATATACATCCTCAATACAGCGAGTCAGCTCCCACTCCTGCACTCCATCCTGGGATAGGTCATCTCCTGCAAAAGCTTATCAGTTAATTTTATAATGCTCAAAAGACTACATGCTTTTTGTATTGAGACAAACATTAGCAACTTAATGCAGCTTTATCACTCAGTCAGAGCATAACAACCTATATCAATCAGCCACTACAGAATGCTTAACCAGTCTCCTAACACACATACTAACCAGTTCCCTCAGCAGAGTGATGAAGGGGGGAGAGAAGAGGAAAGAACAGGAATCGCTGTGCAAACTCAGGCCGATCTTGGACCATGATGAGTGCTGCCCTGGTGGCCACTCTCTGGAACTGCTGTGCAGTCAGCTTGTCTTTGAAATGCAGAAGCTCCAGAACCTAAATCCAGTGACATTACATCCCATAATTAGAGTCACTCTTAGACAATCTGCATAGATTGTTAGGAAACTGATAACAATACATTGTTACTTTTGTTATTATATGACTATTACTATGTTTTGCAAACCAAACAAAACTCTAAATCACATTATGGCAATAATGCACTACTTTACCTGTGGACACACTTGACTGTAATAACTCTCAGCAGAGAGAGACTGCTGAGGACAGGCGGCAAGTATCTTGGCCACAGCATCACATTTCCTCCAGTCAGAGTTGCCACCTGATGGTCAGAAATGTGAAACACAGGCAAAAAAAAAGAATGCCACATTGAATCGCATGATAAATCCACTGGAAACACATTGGGGATTTTTAGTTATGTACTGGATGAAAATATACATGTTTTCCACCACCATTCAAAAAATTATGATTCCATAACTTGGCTGAATCTGCTGACATTGTGCTGTTTACAGAATATGCAAAACACAATTGCCCACTCATTGCCATGTGTCCTATTTTTAGTTCTATCCATTCTAACCCAGGCATCTACCCTGGGGGTAATTGTTGGAGGAGACAGGAAACAGTTCCAGGATATTGCATTTCATAAAAAAACTGACAACAAAAAACTGAGAGCAGGAACACAGGTGGCAATGTATTTGTAAATGTATTTATAATCATGCACAAGGCATAAAGGACAAATAGGTTACCAATTATATGTAACAGTCATAAATGATTAAAAAAAGTAAATAAAAGGGCATTTATAGACATTTTAAATGTTTTTAAAAAATTATTATTATTAACCATTTTTTTTGTAAATATACTATATTTGGGTTGCATAACTGAACGAGCATTGAAACAAGTTTTGAGGTCAGTAACAAAATAAATGGCTGGTATAATGCTCTTATTAATCATTTAAATTAATAATAGCAAATAAAGCAAACAAAAAAATTCCAGAATTTTACTAAAAACTTATTGTAAAATATCTTGTAAACTTGATTCCATTCCCTCATACACCTTTTCAGATGTTGAAATGACAAATTCACATGTTTGCTATCTGATCTCTTTGTTAATTCAGCCTTACCTCCGGGCCCCTCTAGGATGGCCCTCACCACTGCCTGGACGCCTTGTGGCTGCATTAACCGGTCAGACAGCAACTGTCCACACAGTCGCCTCAGCCACGTGGGAGCTTGGGTTAGAGCCTTGCCTCCACCTCTGGAACCTGATGATGCCTACAGCAAATCACAGATTACACATGACATGTCTCCATCAAGTCACACAAACACTAACCCATCAGAAAAGAAAACAGAAAGATAGTGGGCAAAACACACCTGTTTAGAACCCCCTTGCAATACAAGCAGCTCTTTGATGACGATTGGCTGATACACTATCCGAAGAAGATTGTGGATTGCTTCTTTGCAGGACTTGCGCTCCTCTACCGTCAACCCCTGTGGTAGATAAGCAAGGCCGAAATGGTTAAACATTTAGCTTTGGCCAACATGAAACATGAAAGAGTGACCTACAGAACTTACAAACCTACTTTTTTGAATTTTGATGTCATACCAGTGAGTCTTCCTATCATTCTTATTGCATAAGATGTTTTTTTTAATATATTTTTATAATTTTTTAAATATAACTTTTCTTAACAGTTATTTTAGTAATATTTATATACTATTATAGTATTTATTTATATTTTGAATTAGCTTTCATTTTTATATTTTCAGTTTTTATTTTAATTTTAGTTTTGTTTCATTCATTTTTGTGAGCTTTTCTCATTTTATTAGCATTTTTTCTCTTTAGCCTTAATTTATATTTATTTCAGTTTTAGTTTTGATAATTTTAGTACTTCAACTTAAACTTCTTTAATTTAATTAGTTGCCAACACAACATTTCTCATTTTCATTTCAGTTTTTCATCTAATATTTGTATTTTTATATTATTTAATCTTTATTTCAATTAACAAAAAGATTTGCGACAGTTTTAGTTTAATTTTATTTTTGGTTTAGATTAAGTTGAAGTTTGTTATGTGCTTTTGTCATTTTTATTAATTTTTTATATTTCTATTTAGCTTTACTATTTATATTTTTCTGTTTTAGTCATTTTAGTACTTTAACAAAAACTTATTTAAGGTATCTGCCAACTAAGTCAACATTTCTAACTTTCTTTTAAGTTTTGTTCATTGATATATATTTCTAATTCAGGGTTAACTAAAACTATTACAATTATTTCTGTACATAACTTTTTTCATTACTGTTCCGGTCTTGGAACAATTTTAAATTTCCCTGATAAATCCAGATTTTCCATGGTTTTAGAAACCCCGGACCTAAAGTGAGACTATAGGATAAAGTGGTCAAAAAGGATTCAATATTTGTGTATTTTTACCTTATTGCTGTTTGTACCATCTCCTTCAGGGCGCTTGGGTCGATATGCTAACTGACACAGAGCTGCCATGATGTCACCCAAATGGCGTGTAAACACAGGTGTTGCTAGGGATGACAGTGCAGACACCTCCAGCAGCACATTAGTGGTGATAAGTAAACGCCGTTCCCCTTCAGGTGCCACATCGTGTCGGACTGCCCCCTCCACTGCTGCCCCGAAAGCTGAGCGCAGCCCCAGAGCCACTCCTACCCCAGGAGCTAAATATGGACACAGACCCAGTGTGACCACAAACTGCAGCACAGTGCCCAGTGTCTTTTGCTGGGCCACACTGAGAACATCTGGAGGAAGCGGTGGAGCTGCTTCAGGGGTCGCAGGATTTGGTGCAGTAGGATTCTGATGAAAGGCTTCCAGGAGGCGGCTGAGGTGACGTGCCAGGCAGAGCAATAAGAGAAGACATTCCTGGACAAAGCTCCAGGTTAGGTCATCTGTATCATTGCACACCCATGTGATCTCTCTTTTGACCTCCTCCAGAAGTTGTCGGGCTTCCTCCAGCTCTTCACCCCCAGACATGTGCTCCTGGAGCTCTGACAGGTTCCTCTGGAGAGCCGACACAAGTGCTGTTTGTGTGCTATGACCATCGCTCAGCTGAGCCTCTAAAAAAGGAGTGTGCATGCAATCACTATTTCAAAAATGTGCAAAACATAAACATCACACAAACCTGCAAAACTTTCTTTCTTCCGTGAAGCAGAAAATTAGATGTTGGGCAGAATGACAGTCAACATTCAATTGTTAAGTTATTGAAAATATATAATATATATACACTGAACGTTAACAGTGAACCGAGTCTGCCAGAACCTACCTAAAAAATCTGCCTGACATCTAAAGAAAGTCATACACTTTTGGAAAAACATAAGGATGAGAAAGCAGCTAACAATATTTTTTTTCTCTTAACATGCGACTGCGAGTAATGCTTCTGCCAGACGAGACTGACTGAATTTAGCCAACACACAGCCAACAACACAGAAAATTGTGCTTTGACACTTTTTTACCACTATTGTAATATATTCTTTCTTACCTTGAGTAGGTTTCGTTAATATACTGATAGACTTTATTAGTGCTGTGGTCATTTTCATCCACACTGCAATGTGTTGTCTACTTTGTCGCAATGCTTTAACGTGAATACGGTAGAAGCCTTTCAAAATAAAAGTCCCACAAAGTCCGACAAATTAAAAGCCACTCTCTCTCTCTCTCTCTCTCTCTATATATATATAAATATATATATTACACTGCCAATCATTTTTATGACAATTATCATCCACATTTGACATTTTCAGGAAATCTCTGTAATCTCAAAAGGAGGTTAGTTATTATACTATAGCCTATACTTCTGCATAAAGGCACTAAAACAAATGCTACCATCATTTATAAACACTTTATTTTAACTAATAGGCTATATTAGTATTTTTTTTGCAAAACAGTATTCAGAAGAATGCTACTATTTATTTATTCATTCATTCTGTGGTGAAATATCATTCAGGTGTGTTTGAAATGTACCCACAGAGGAATTTACAGATATGGACAAATGAATGAGTAAAGATCAGCATAGACTTTATTTTTGTTTTACACAACATGAATATAATACCATCTGGACAAAATGCAAAGTTGAGGGGAGAAAAACCATACGAATACATTTTATCGTTATCATTGAAACAAACTTAATATAACCATTCCTGTCACTGACAGAGCTGAATTTCACACCTGATTCAAACAAGGACAGGAAGGCGCAAGATCAAAAGTTCACATATTTGCATAATGTAGGCTACATAAGTTAAATAAATAGTAAATAAGTTATTATCATATAAATAAATAAAGTCTAAATAAAGTAGTGTTTTACAGTAATACAAATACATCTTCCTTTCAAGAAAGATTATGTTGGTTTGTAAGCTTAAAAAATAAACCATGTGACACATGCAACTTTTCAGCTTATAAATATAAGCATATCAAACAATGTAAGTACCTTATCAAAAATTGCAT